TAGTTAACGGTGATTCTTATTCATCCAATATTCAGTTAAGGTTTATATATAGACAGTTGATGTGTTCGCTTTGGTTGTTCCAAACGGAATAATTTTTTATTGTGGCTTGAGATTCACATCAAACCTCCGCCAAAGAATTTTATGTGTTTACAATTATGTATGTGTGGGTGAGTAAATGCTAACAAAGTATTTTCTGGAGCTCTGCTGAGTGGGTGTCGTTTAGCAACATCCTGCCTTGTGCTGATGTTGCATTTCTTATGTGCATCTTATGTGGGACAACGAACGGCTAGCTGTCGGTCACTGTCCACTTGGAAGAGAGTAACACGGGGAGGTTTAGGCGGTGGCATAGTCGATGGTACCGGTACGGTAACTCCTCCCCCCCTAGAATGGAGCGATGGCCACATCTGTGGTATATCCAGAGCGACATTGTGCAGAAAAGCATTGGGGGTGAAGATTGTTTTTGTTTTTCTAATTCTCCATATTGCCAGTACCGTTATCGCTAGAAGCACCAGCATACCATATATTACGGAAAAATGTGTTTCCTGTACTTTTCCCATGTACACTACTTTTTTGAGGTTTCTCATATCTTCAAGATGTAAAACTTCTAGGTTTAACTCCTGTTTAGTGTTATTTATAAGTATCTGCTTACTTATTGTAGTGGTAAGTACTATATGGTCCTCTTTATGTTCCATAACTTGGCCATCATACTTTATGCCATTTATTTCGATCGAACAGTTTGCATATTTGATTGCTAACGCCCCTGATATTGTAATATCCTCCCCACACGTGTTGTTTACAGGTAAGTTCAAAGCATTGAAAATGAATATGTGTCCATCCTCAGGTGCCAAAACCATTTCTCTTCCCTCTAGGTTTACTGAATCGCTTATTGGTGGTTTGTTCGTTAAAATCTTCCTCAAGCACTCCTTTCCTTTTGTCTCAACACCCAACTCTTCGCTCTCACAAATAAAAGTTTCATGAACTTTTGAACATTGGTTGTTAAAGAAACTTATTTTATACTTATTAATTGCTACATAATTTGGTATTATTAATAAATGAGTTCCATTAATTGGAATTGGTATAACATGATATAGCTGATAAACATTTGGTTCAAAAATTGGAGCTCTTACCCTAAATATTATGTCTGTCTCATTTATTTGTGTCTGTATATTTATTAGTTCGTAAACTTGTTCATTTGAAACAATTTTGAGCCCTTGACACTCTACAAACTGTATAATCCTCTCTAATTCTGTCTCTGCTAAAATGAATTTAGGCACAATGCGAAGTTTCGCTAACAATATGATTTCCGCAATATTGTTTAAGTGTACTGTTAACAAATCAATACTGTAACTAATCCTATTCAAATGCTGGAGCATATGTATTTCATTGTGCTCTTGTGTTAGTTCCCTAAATACGTTATTCTTATAATTCTTTATAAACAAATTTATATCTTCCTGCTCCTTATTTATATGCTTAGTAATTTTCGTAAACCTACTCAAGGATTCCTGATAAAAGGTTCTTTGCTCGTCCGCTTCTTTTGTAAGAAACCTTGTTTCATTTCTCAATTCTTTTATTCTATTTCCTATTTTCTCCTCATCATATGCGTCCATATTTCCCGAAACTATTTTTATCATGCTCCCTAATCCATTAAAAATTCCTCTTTTGACCCTATTTCTTGGTTTAAGTACTTCTAGCTTCTCCTTCACCAGATACAATTTTTCCTTATCCACCTGGACTGCCTCACCTGAGAATCTAACCTTCTCTATGTCTAACAACGCGTTCTCAATCTGTGCAATATTACCTTCATAGTCCTTAAAGTTTATTATATGGTCAAACATCTTCGCTCCGACCATTACTCTTGCCTTTCCCAGTTCCATTTTTACGATCGCCTCTTCTCGTTTTAGTGCTTGCACCTCCATTGTCTGTCCATGGACTAATATGCACCTGTAACCGTGATTGATTAGTTTTTATTTTGTTTAATTCCTTTTTTAATTTTTGATTTATGTATCTTCTGTTTCTTTTTTGTAACGAATGTAACCCCATAATCCTCATCTACTGTGTGTTCCGTAAACCTAGGTGTTAACTTATTTCTTCTATTCTCCTTCCTATAAACTACATCCTCTTTTTCTAACTCCATGGGTTCTTCTCTTCCTTCATTGAGTTTTCGCGTCCTTTCCTGTTTTTGTCTTTTCAACCTGTTCTTAACTTCCTTATAAATTTCCTCCTGATATGCATTTAACTTCCTTAAGTACTCATGCTCTGTATCGAAATTAATTTCCCGTTCAAAAACGTGTGTTCTCCCCGAGAACAATTCGAACGGCTTCAATTTCGTACTGGAGTGTATTGAGTTATTATAAGTTAGGAAAACTTCATCTAAAACTTCCTCATGCTCATTTTCTAGTTTTAAGTCCTTCCTTGTTTTCATAATTATCCTATAAATTTCTGTCAGTGTTGAATGAAGCCTTTCAACCGGTGAATTGCTGGACGATTGTTGAAATTACGTCACATGCAATTCAATTCCGTACTGCCTACAGAAATCCTTGAATAGTGCCGAGGCATACTCTGCGCCTTGGTCACATATGATCTTTTTAGGAACGCCGTACTGACCTATGAACTTCTTTATTGATTTAACAATATTCAAACTGTCCCTTGCCGGTATAGTGTACCCCACGGCAAACCTTGAAAACTTGTCTATTATTGTTATTACATAGTTTTTGTTGATTGTATATAAGTCCGTATGAACGATATCAAGTGGCTTGCACGGGGTTTCCGAATTTTGAAATACCACCTTTTGCGGTTGCCGATCATATTTCAATGTCTGGCAAGTTTCACACGCATTAATGACCTGTGTTACTCGGTTTTTCATAAATGGAAAATAAATGTCCCGTCTCATCTTCCAAAACGTTTCATCTATTCCCCTATGATTACCTGAGGTGTGATACCTTTCTATTTCTTCTCTTTGTTCACTAATATCTGTTATTTCCCGCATGAAGGTAAGACATCGTACTGCTTTATACAGTTTGCTCCTGCAAAAATAACTCTTAAACGCTTCTTCTACCTTTTTAAAAACTTCATCTGACGTGTATATCGCACACAACCTGTATGGTTTAAGCACCTCCCTAAGAATTTTTGCAATTTCCTCTTTTGTGAACTCCTTTTCTGTTATCGTCCTTCTTGTCTTGTTCTTAAAAGGTGTCACCACTGTTCTGCTTGGTGTCGACCCAACCTCAAATATTAACTGGATATTAAAGTCATTCAGTGGCTTTTCTGCCACATGAATGCAACTTAATTCCAGTTCACTTGTATGGGCCGCACAAGTAGCCTGAGTTGACTCTAGTTCACTGTTGTGAACTTGTAGTTCAATTCTGCTCAAGGCGTCTGCCACGACGTTTCCGATATTCCAACAGTTGCAGCTTCCACCTCACCAACTTGGAATTTGGTTCTTTAAATCCCCATGAGCCAAGTTAGTGGGCGATGATCTGTGACTATTGTGAATTTGTGACCAAACAAGTACGGTCTGAAGTGTTTTATGCCCCAAACTATGGCAAGCATTTCCTTTTCTACTGTGGAATAATTTACTTCAGCCTCATTTAACGTTCTGCTTGCAAATGCGATTGGTCGATCACCTCCCATTGCTCCTTGTGATAACACTGCACCAATAGCAAAATTGCTAGCATCTGTGGTCAAAATGAAGGGTTTTGTAAAATCTGGATATCTCAACAATGGATCATTGCATAACAACGTCTTGCAATATTCAAAAGTTTTTGTATACTCCTCATCTATGATTATCTGTTGTTTTCCTTTTAGTCTCTTAATTAATGGTTACGTTATTTTTGCAAAATCTTTTATGAATTTCCTGTAATAACCAATAAGTCCAAGAAATGACTTTATTTCCTTTGATGTTTTGGGCAAAGGAAAAAGCTTTATGGCTTCAATCTTCTTTGGGTTTGGTCTGACTCCTTCTTGTGTCACTACATGCCCTAAATACTCTATCTCCTTCTTTAAAAATTCTGATTTGTTGTTTGAAGTTTAAAATTTGCTCCACTTTTCCTTTTAAAAACTGTCCTCAAATCTTGCATGTGACTTTGTAGGGACGGGGAATACACAATTATGTCATCCATGTAGACTAGACAAATCTTGCCCACCAACTCTCCCATCAGGTTATTCATCACTCTTTGAAACGTCGCTGGAGCATTTGTCAGTCCAAATGGCATCCTTACATATTCAAAATGCCCGTTATCCGTTGTAAATGCTGTTTTTGGAATGTCCTGTTTTTCCATCTCAATCTGATGGTATCCGCTAGCCAAATCTAATACCGAGAAATACATGGCTTTTCCCAGTTTATCGAGTACTTCGCCAATTACTGGCATCGGATACCTATCCTTCACTGTCTTCTCATTCAACTTCCTAAAATCTACCACCAATCTCCACTTTTGTTTTCCTGACAGGTCCATCTTCTTTGGTACTAGCCAAACTGGTGCACTCCAAGGTGAGTGACTGTGCCTAATAACTTCCTGTTCTAACAATTCCTGTATCTGATTCTTCATTTCTTCTCTTTGTTTAAATCCATATCTACATGGCTTTTTATAGATAGGAATATCGTCCGTTGTTGGAATTGAGTGAGTTACCGCATTGGTAAATGTCAGTTGATTTCCCTTTGTGTGAAAAATACTTGGAAATTCGGAACACAGTTTTTTAAGGCTTGCCGCCTCTTCTGTATTTAGATGGGACATATCCAATTTAGCATGGCTTGCATCACGCCCAGCTAATTCCGTTGTGTTCATTTCCCTGCATACATACTCCTGTTTAAATGGTCTTAGCATTTCGATTTCTACATAATCTTTGGAATCATATGCAGTGACAGCCAACGGCTTTTCTAGGTATAATTTCTTTTCTTTTTCCTGTGAAATTGACAACTTCTAGGTCGGCCTGTCCCTTCTTTGCATAATAAATTCCACCGGTTATTTCTAACCCTTCTTCCACTAGTGTCGTTTGTATCAAAAATGAACCATTGTTTACTGAAACTGGTAAGGTGACAATTGTTTTAGTCGCCTCCTCCAGGATATGTATGTCAGTGGTCCTATTGGGCTTCAAATGGACTTTAACTGTCCCTGTCTTGGTTCTTAATACGAGATTTTCTAAATCTAAACTTGCACCTAACTTAATTAATATGTCCATTCCCAATAATCCACCAAACCAGGAATGAAAATGGAATAAAAAGAAATCAAACGATTCCCCTTTTGCAATTTCCTGCAGCTCGACATCTTTTATATAACTGTTTATTTTATGACTCCCTATTGGAGTTTTAACTACAAGGTTTTCTTTCAATTTTTGCTGTTGATCTTTACTAACCATTGCGGGATTTAAATACGTATTTGTAGCTCCCGAATCTATTAATAATTTTAGTTCTGTTTCGTTATTTACTTTAACTACCACGTATGGTAATGTCGCCTGATGGGTATTCTTCCTTATATACCCTGTCTGTTTTTTGAGGCATTCTGGCAAAAATTCCCCTCGTCCTCAATGTTATTCAACTCCTGCTCCTCTTCTCTTTCTACTGTATTTAATTGCCCTGACTGCCATCGTTTGGCACCTCTAGGCCCAGTTGATGAGCATTCTGCAATTTCTTGTTTTGGCATTATTGCCTTTTTATTATACCCTGAAGAGTTAGAGGTCGACTGATTGTCATATCCTCTATTCCTAATTCCTTCATTATTCCACCTGGGGTTCCTATTATATCCTCCTTGTTGCCTTATCCTTCATTATCTCTGTTAAAGTTGTTATTGTATCCTCTGTTTCTATTATACCCAAAGTTCTGCCTGTTATAACCCCCTGCCATACTAAAATTATTGCTCCTGGGTACCTCTTTAGACCGGTAATAAATGTCTCTCTCCTTAACCGCTATCTCGTATGCTTCCAAGAGCGTCTTCGGAACTCTTTCCCTCACGGCACTACCTAAATTGCCTTTAAGACCTGTTACGAACGCCTCCAGACACGTTTCCTCATATAACTTTTTCTTCGCCTGAATTGCGATGGGGTTCGTATCTGTCCTGTCTATAACATTACACAATGCCTTATGTACATCAGATACCTCTGAGTAAAATAATTCTACTGTTAGTTTTTTATTTTCCAACTGGTTTAATTCCCTCAGTAAATCAGGTTCTGACCTCTTGTCTGCAAAATGGGCTATCAAAATTCTTTTAATTACATCCCAATTTATTCCACAATTTGATTTTACCAAAATGTCATCTGCCTTTCCTTGGATTTTATTACTTATTTGCCTAAGGATCATTAGTCCCATAGGTGTTTGATCCATCCCTCTAATCATTAAAAGACTCTCCTCTGCGTTTAAGATGAACTCGTTTATCCTTTCTTTTTCCCCCATAAAAACATGCATCGACCGGATCACGTCGGAAATTTTCACAGTACCTAACATCTCAAATGTTGCCTGTTGCATTCCTAAATTGTCCTGATGCGTCATTGTATTAGCTTCCCTGTTCTGCACTGCTCTAGAAGTTGAGGGCTCAAAATTTAACTGTTCAACTATCGTTGGCAAACTGGTAGCCTTTTTTATAACTTTACTTCTAGTCAGAGGTCTAAGTGACTCTTTGACTTTGCTAATTTTCGACATTTACAATTCTCTTTTGTTTACTCTTTCAACTATTATTATTATTTTTTTTTTTTTTTTGCTTATGCTTATTATATAGTATATGTGTATCAGATATATGTGTATATATTGTATTATGTATTTTCTTAGCTTTTTCCTGATGTGTCTTTAATAATTCCTTTTCCTTAGAAAGTGAGGTGTGTGTCGGTGTCTTTTATCTGTAAAATTTTGTTATTATCATTTGTTCAATTGTTTTATTACTAAAAAATTTTTGTACTGTGTTGGAAGTGTTGTGTATGTGTTTCTTTTATTTTTTTTTTTTTAATTTTCTTTTCACCCTTCTATACCCTTGCGCGATGCAGTGGTATCAGGTTCCCTTGTATTTTTGTAACATATATATATATTCTATTGTTATTGCATAATCGTCACCCTTGCACGATGCAGTGGTTTCTGATACGGCAAAATTTCTTCTTGTAGGTGTTATAATTTATTATATTTAACTTTGAGATTCACCAAATACCCTTGCGCGATGCAGTGGTCTTTGGGATTTCCTTGTCTGTTTACTATTTTTTTTTTTTTTCACGGTGCTGAAGCTAACTGGAAATCCTGCGCGATGCATTTATTCCAGCCACGAGCGGACAGTCACTTGCAATAGATATTTCTTTTATAATCTTTTCCCTTTTTTTTTTTTTTTTTGTTTTTTTATTTATTGACAGGCAGAGTATCCACCCAGCGACCTGGGTTTCTTTTCCCAAGCTGCATGTTTGATGTTCGCGTCCAACATCGAACTTTCGAACGTCTTACTTGCAACTCAATCCGTCGAACTAAATGGTTCGATGACGTTGCAGGTCGCCAGGTTGCGTCGCACCAGATTCCCAGTCAACACATTATTTGATTTATGTAATTTATTCTTGCCAATGTTCTTTGTTGTTGTTTCATTTTATGCCTTTCAATTTTATCATTATTATATCTGTGCACCCTTTCTTTTTCTATTTACACCACTATTTTAACTTACTGTTGTATATAAATTATACAAATAATTGTTTTCATCATTTCGGTCCTTCTCAGTTCTCCGGGTATGTGTGTCCTTTTTTTCTCCTTCCGACGCCACCACCACCGCCGCCACCACGATCGCCGTCACCGCTGCCACACTCACCATCACCACCACCATGGTCGCCGCCGAGGCAGCAGGAGTGGCACCTGCCACAAGCGCAGGTCGCGCAAGCGCTGCGGACCATCGTGGTGGGGGGCGGCGGTGGCATCAGCAGACGGTCACGTGGACGTGGCCCGCGCCCGAGGAGGCAGCAGAGGTGGCGGCGCCCACCGCCGTTGAACCCGCGCGATCCGAGGGCCAAGTCGGCGAAACGCGTCGCGGAGACGGCCGATCGCGAGGGGCTGGAGGTGACGACCGAGAAGGAACGCGAGGCCCAGGAGGGGCTGGAAAAGGGGCCATGGGAGTGGCCAACACCGCCGGAGACGTCGCGGGACACGGCGCCACCCCCCGAAGCTGGCGCGGCAGACTTCGTGCCCGGAGTCGCGAGCCCCACCGGCGAGGCCGACGCTGCGGAGACAGCAGTCGGAGGGCGCGGAACCGTGGGCGGAGGTTCCGGAGGCGGAGTGGCCGGCGCGGGTGGCCGAAGAAGCGCAACGACAGCGAGGGAGGCAGAGGAAGGCCAGGTGGGCCAAGCTCGTGCTGGAGGAGGGACAGCGCTACCGAGTCAAGGTAGCAGGGGGCCGGGTGCGGGTGTTTAAGGCCCAATAAAGCAGATCCCAGCGTTAAAGCCCAGCAGTTGTTATTTGGGCAGGGAAGCACAACACAGCACAACACAGGAAAAAAAAAAAGAGTGGTCCGCCGCAGCAGCCGATCGCGGAACGGGGGCGGTGAGGGGGGAAATCGCGGGCCAAGCACGCCGCTGGCAGAAAACACGAGGCTGCCGCAGGCGAAGGGCGAGGGGGTCACTTGCCGCCGCAAGGATCTCCCGGGGCACGCGGTCCAGGGTCAGCACCCCGAGACATGTCAGGGGCATCAGGGGCATCATGGTCATGGTGTCGCTGTAAAGAAAAAAGTCGTTAATTAAAGGAAAGCTATAAACAGCATGTTTATTTACCAGTTTTTTTCAAAACAACGAGGCCGTGAGGAAATTAAGGACGGGGGCGCCAGGCGATAGGCGGTCGATCGATAGTTGCGATCGATGGGTACAAAAAATACAGGATTTCTCAAGAAACGGTCACACGGAGGCAATTTAAGACAACGGAAACGATAACGGCAACAACGATGGCAATGCTGGAACCACTATCGATAAGTGCGATCGAGGTGTGGTCAGACGACGGGAATCGGAATGGTGATGTCAAACACGGGGAAATGTCTGGGCGGGAAATTCAAATTCTACGCGGGGAATTATCGAAGGAACAAAATGCAGTTTTGGGAAAGTTCAAGTCTTTCGGGGAACTGTCTGGGGAACAGGCTAACGCAGCACAGCCATAGGAAAGTTAAAGGTCTTTCAGAGCGCTGTCTTGGGGGAGTCTTACAAGGGCAGCTCAGGGAAAGTTGAAGTCTTTTGGGGAACTGTATAGGGTCACGAGGAGAACGAGTTTGGGCGAGGAATTTGAATGAACAACAGGGGCGGGGAGATCACCACCTTCATAACATTTCCGAAGAAAGGGGGAAATGTGAAGAGTCTTAAAACTCCCCACAAATTCGGAGGCAGGAGAGCTGCATAGCAACAGCGAAGGAGGCGAGAATGCCGGAGGAGTCAAGGGCAACAAGGTCAAACGGTAAACAACGGACCTTGGAACCGGGCAAAGAGGAGACACCGTGGACTAACGGTACCACGCTGGACATTGGACCGTCATACGGCAAGAGCAACAGGGTCGAACGGTAAATTGGCGGACTTCGGACCCGCTCAAAGAGGACGCACCGTGAACTAACGGTGCGGCAGTGGACCTTGGACCCGATCACGCGAGCTAGAAAAGGGAAATAACGGGACCATCAAAGGCTATAAAAGGCGGAGCAAGCGCAGCACACGAGGAGTAATAGTGCGAGAATCAAAGCGAGTGCATGTACGCGAGACCAGTAGCAAGTTAATCAAGTGCCGAGTACCAGGATCAAGATCGCAAAGTCGAGACGCCGAACGACTGCGAGTCTACAAAGCTGAGGCTTCAACGCTGAGATCCAACGGGTGCTAGGTCGTGGTTAAATCGAGCTCAGGGAGTCCTTGCGTGGAGTCTGCGATAAAGGTGGCTGGGCGAAAAGGCAGAACGGCGTTCTACCTGCTAGGCAAAGCACCTTGCCGGTCCCGACAGTGAGGTTCGCATAACATCCAGAGTCTCGAAGGAGCCGTCACGAGTCAGATACCAGCAAGCAGTCGACGACGAGGAGCGACGCCGCGAAGGACAGCGAAGAGGAGCGACGCCGCAGAGGACGACGACGAGGAGCAGCAGCAGCTGAAGAGCCGCGAGGCTTGTACAAGGAGACGAATAAAGACAGTTACGATCCCAACAGAACTCTTGCGTTATTCATTGGTCAAAGGCAATCACCCAATATAAATTTAGTGGAACGAACCCATAACCTCTCTGAGCTAGCCGCCCGTTAACGTAGCGAGCGAGAACACATAGAAATCAAGTCGTTATAAGGGTCATGGGTACATTTTTTTGTAACTATTTACTTATTTAAAAAAGAGATAGATATAATAATGTAAAATTCAAAGAATGTTCTTGTATATGAATCATAGTGATTTATATGACATTTTTTCATAAGTTCCCCAAAAGTGGAATTATAATATTCTTTTCCTTGATCTGAATGAATGTTTTTTGGTGTAAATTTACTATTTATAAAAACAGTTTTCATTGCATCTGCTACATCCGGTGCAGACTTTGTCTTAACTGGTTCAGCGAACGCATACTTTGAAAACGTATCAATAACGGTCAGTAAATATCTAAAACCTCCATTTTCTTTACTGAATGGTATCATTTCGACTAAATTAATTTGCCAATTTGCCTATGAATTTCATTAACGACTTGTAGTTTACTCATCTTAAGGCGGTGGTTTGCTTGTATTATTTTTTATTAGAACACAATGATTGCTTAGTTAATAGTGATTGCTTATACACCTGTACATCTCTTTTTATTTCAGCACGCATTTTTTTTTTTAAATTTTTAAAACATAACCGTGTTTAATCTATTTGTACATCGGGATCGTAGGAACCATAGTTGAATATATAATCTTTCCAAAGATGCACACTTAGGAATAATATGATTATGATAAAGATATATAACTTGCTGTCGTAATATGGAATTCCAACATAAAAATGTTGTAAAAAATATACCCAATCGTAACAAAGATCTCCATGACTCCGAATCGAACTCAATTTTGTTACCATACTGATTAATTACAAAAACGTACTGCTTATCTGATTTCCTAAATCTAAAAGTACACTTTATTGAAGACATGCGTGGGTGATCAATAATTGAATCCGACAGCAAAAAGTCATACTGGTCAAGCTTCAATTGAATATATTCCTTATATGTTAACAGTTGCATCCATTCGTCTTCATCAAATACACGAAATTATTTTTACTTTGCTGCATCCAAATTTTTGTAAGCGTTGAGGAAATTATTATGCTAATAAGGGGAACGGACCAGACCCCGTACGGACAATTACTACTAAGAACCTTGAGAAGCAAAATTATAGGAAAAGCGGACGAGACTCTGAATATCTTGGACACCAAGCTAGAATGGGACAGAAAAATTTTCTGGAAGTTGACAAGCTACATTTCAACTTTAAGTTATGAACGACATAATATTCGAATCCGAAAATAACGCCATGGTCCTGAGTCTTTCGGGAAGTTTATTTCGTTTATTTAAACTAAAAATGGGTTCTTGTCTTGCGGGTATATAAAGGCGGAAGCCCTTCCAAACTCACTCCCAGTTGATTATAGTAGATTTTCAATATTTACTCGGAAACAATAAACAAGTTTTTGTTAAGGAACTAGCGTTCATGCCGGCTGGAACTGTGACACCTAATTTCTTTCATTTTAAACCGCCGTTTAATATCAAAGAATTGGATAATGAGACTCTTAAGCAACAACACATAAATCAGCGAAGTATAAATGGATTGGATTGGTCAGCTGGTGATATACCGTATACAAGTCTTGAAGATATACTTTCACCACTTAACAAGTATCAAACAGTTATTGTTCGGGGTGAAACAAAGAAAAGCTTTTTAACCAAATATTTATCAACTAACATAATCGATATAGATATTGGAAATAGTTTAACTGAATTACCCAATTTTTTCTCTAATTGTAGAATACATAAGAATAAAATTCCACTACGATGTTCATTAAATAATTTGTTTAAGCTTTTTGTATTCTTAGAAAACTCTAATTATAAAATATATAGTAATGGTGACACATCCGTTTAAGATTTAGTAGAAAATAATTAGTGGACCCAATCTGATCGTTAACTACGGATCCCTTAAAAAATTTTTGGAAATGATCCCCGCAAAAAGGGATACACGCAGCTTATATATTGTAATTATTGCGATACTCATTTCGAGAAGAACTGCGCCAAGAAACGCGATCAAGGAAAGCATAAAAAAGCTTAGTGCAATAAAGATAAATATTATAATATCCTATTATAAACAAAAATTAAGTAAAAAACTGTTATATTAATCTTGAATAAAATAATTTTTAAAAAATATATATATATACAATACCTAAAACTAAAAAAAATGTTTACACAATTTATACATCCATTCACAATGTTAATTTGCGGGCCCTCTGGATCAGGAAAACAACATTTTTAGAAAACCTGATTTCCAAGAAGAATGATCTTTTTAATATTTCAATTGATCGAATTATTTGGTGTTATGGGGAGGAAAGTGCTAAACCAAATTTTAGTAATATTGAATACTTTAAAAGAGTTCCTGAAACAGTCGAAAACGAAATTAATGTGCCTATTCTGTTGATTCTAGACGACTTGATGATGGGTGCCTTTAACAAAAATGTTTGTGAACTGTCTACGAAAGGATCACATCACCGGAATTTATCAGTTGTTGTGGTTACTCAAAATATATTTCATAAATCATCGCATACCCGTGATATTTCACTAAAGACCAAATATAAACTACCTTTTAAAAATCCCCGAGATAAGCTTCAATTTCAATGTTTGGCAAGACAAATTTATCCAGAAAACCCAACAGATTTATTTAGAATATATAAAGAAGTAACAGAGCAACCCCACGGATATTTACTTATTGATCTCACTCAGGGAATTAACGATCTCTTACGGTTTAGATCAGACATTTTTAACTCTGAGTATACGGTGTGCTATTCCGAAGAAAATGGTTTACAAAAAGAATCTAAATCGCTTGAAAGCGAACAAACATATATTGTATGTGCTCAAAAAGGCTAGCAATTAACTACGAAATGCAATAATAAACAATAGCGATAGTGAACTGGTAAAAACAATAGTGGAAATAGTTTTGAACTCATAACGAGGAAATCATAAGGTTACTAAAACGCATCTAAATTCCCTAAAAAAAGTATAAAAGTGCATTGCGCTACCTTTCATGTCCAAAGCGCACATTAAACTCTAAGAGAAAAGTTCTTATTCAAAAAGGTGGATTTTTACCTATTCTACTAAGTTCGTTGCTCTCAAATGATTAAAAACAAACATAGTTTAAAAAAAGTAATTTTAGTGAACCCCCACACCTTTCAAAAATTAAAAAACAACTCTCGAGGAAATGAATT